AGGCGGAATCCGCCAGTCCGGGTTTCTGCCCCTTCCACTCGGCCGGGAAGCACCAGGACCATCTCGGAAGAGCCCAGGCCAGAGCATCACACCACCCAGAGCCTTCTCGCCGCTCCTAGAATAAAATGCAGATTCTTCACCCTGGCTTCCAGAGCGGACGTCACCTGGTCCCGGCCGGTCCCCAGGCTTGCACACTTCTGTGAACCGAGGCCTTGGAAGATCTGACGTCAGTTCATGCTCACAGAGCCCTGGGGGCTGGTGCTCCCGACGAGGAATCCTCAACCCTTCAGGCTTCCAGATGCCTGCAGATCAGTTGTGACGAAATATGAACCCACAATCAAAAGCCTCCAAGAGCGCGGGAGGACGAAGTAGCACGAGTGAGGGCAGACACAGACGAGCACCGCAACGGCGGGGCCAGGGCCGCAGGCTCTGCGGCCGCTGAGGGACACCACGGCACGTGCCCAGCTGTCTCCTGGCGGAGGACAGAAGCAGGGGACAAGGTGTGACCTCAGGGCAGGACCACTGGAACACACCGGGAGGATCTCAAGGGGATCAAATCGAACTTCTAGAACCACAATAAGAAGTTCAGTAAAATGAACCAAGCACCAACGCAGAGAACATCCACAGTGTGGAAAAGCAGCCCTGACCTCAGCGTGAGGGACAAGGAGACTGGGAACAAGAGGCCAGAGACACAACATCGTGGCGAGAAGAGGGCGCGTCTGGGAGAGCCTGGCTGCGACCGTCCTGCGACAGAGCCGCGGACACGCTGCTGAAGGGAGCGCCCCGCGGCGGCAGGAGAGCCGGGCGCCGAGGACACGCGGCTCCGCACGGAGGGGCTGGCGCGCCGCGGACTTGCCAGCAGCAAGATACTCGGGAAGACGCCGAGACAGCTGCGGGCGCCAGGAGGAGCCTGTCTGCCTGGAGAATGTCAGTAAGGAGGGTGAAACAAGACGTGCTGACTGCAGAGAACCTGGAGGGGTTTCCAAGCAGCCGCATCTCAAAGGGATGTGCTTCCAGAAGGCAGGTCTGGTGTCAGAAGCGTGAGCAGGGACAGCAGGTGGGGGGAAGGAAGACCTCACCGTGAGGCTCGGGAAGAAACAAGCTAAGACACTGACGTAACAGCCCCAAAGTTTGGGGGCGACCGAGCGCAACGTTCCAGGGTTCCCCCCATGACGTCTGACCGACGCGGCCGGGGGGCGGGAAGCCCCCGTCCCAGACTTCCGGAGGGCGCCAGCGCTGGCGCGTTTCTTCCCTTGGTGCCCGGTGGGCGCACCGCGAAGCCACCTGGCCCTCGAGTTCTCTTGGTGGGGGCTGACCTTTCGGAACAGAGGGCTCTTCAGTCACCGATTTCTTCTTGTGGGGGCTTTGGTGGCTTGTGTCTCTCAGGGCATTTGTCCTCGTGTCCACACTGTTGGCTGCACTGGCACAAAGTAAGCCAAGATTTTCTCTTGCTGTTCTTTAAATGTGTAGAATCTGGAGTGATGCCTCCTCCCTCAAAACTGGCACCATGACTGTGTTTTCCCTCTTTCTCCTGATCAGTCTGGCTGGAGGCGTCTTCATTCTATCTGTCTTCTCAAAGAGCCAGGTTTCGAGCTCATTGGCATTCCGTGTCGTCTGTTCTGCCACTGGCTTTTGCTCTGATACTTATTACATCTTCTGCTGCCTCTGGGTCTCATCCGCTCTCTTGGTTGGAGGCGGCAGCTGCGGGAACTGCGCATCTGCCAGGCCGCGGACGCCCTGCGTGCTTCAGCTGTGCTCCAGCCCGCCGCCAGAAACACAGCCTTGGGCGTTTTGTGTTCGTTTTCATTTTCATTCCATTCTCATTCCATTCAGAATACTTTCTCATTTCCCTTTTGTTTCTTCTTTGATCCATGGTGTATTTCAAGTGTGATACTTAATTTCCAAACACATGGCCATCTTCCCAGGTCTTTTTGCTGTTGGGGCTAAAGAACGTAATTTGCATGACTTTAATCATTTTAAATATACTTAGGCTGCTTTTATGGCCCAGAATATCCTTTCCTGATAAATGTGCTATATACTCTTGAGAAGAATGTGTGTACTTCTGATGGAGGTGGAGTGGCTACAAACAGGTCCCGTGGGACGACCGTGTCTGCTTCCCATGCTCGGACAGAGAGCACCTTACACTTGGTAGGTCGCTACTGAGATGGGCGCTGAAACCTCCTCCAGCTGTGGACTCCACTGCCTCTCCCTGCATTTCTAACCAGTTTTGTTCCGTGTGCTTTACAGCTCTGTTACTAGGCACACAGACATTTAGGCCTGATGGGTCCTTCTGAGGAACCGATGCCTGTGTTTTTATGGAACGACTATTTTGTGGTAATGTTATTTCTCTGAAACCTACGTTTCTTGATGTTGACATGGTGGATTTCCTCTCAGGCTTTGATTTTTAACCATCTGTGTCCTTGGATCTTGCTTTTTCAAGTCAGTCTGGCAATCCCTGCCTTTTAATTGCAGTGTTTAAACCATTTACATTTGATGTGATTACTGATATGGCTGGGTTTAAATCTGTGATTTTGCTGCTGGTTTTCGATTTGCCCCAACTGTTTTCTGCTCCTCTTTCCATATTGTTCTGCCTTCTGCATTGAGTATTTTTGGGAGGGGAGGGGAGGTAATTAGGTGTATCTATTTATTAATTTATGTATTTTAATGGAGGTACTGGGGATTGCTAAGCACGCGCTCTGCCACTGAGCTACGCCCTCCCCTCCTGTCCTGAGTAGTGTGTCTCCTTTACTGACCGTTTTATTCTAGAGGTCGCTGTCGGCTTTATGGTGTGTCTGGAACCTGTCTCGCTCAGCCTGGAATCACATCGCATCTCACACCTGGTGTGAGAGCCTCTGTGGCCCACCTCCTGCGTCTGTGCTGGCGCTCATATGTGTCCCCCCACACGTTAAGAGCCCCACAAAACATTGTTATTATTTCGGCTTTAAGTGGTTTGTTACTTTGCAAGATAATGTAAGTGATATGAAAGTCAGTCAGTACTTACTCATGTGGTTACTGCTTCTGGTGCCCTCCGTCCTCTGTGTAGATCAGATTTCCACCCACCTGGCACCATCCTCTGCTGCTGGAAGACCTCCCTGCAACATTTCTTGTGGAGCAGATTTGCTGTGAATTCTTCCAGCTCTGGCGTGTCTGTAAAGTCTAATTTTTTAATGTATTTTGAGATGCACTTTCATTTGTGAAGAATTCTAAGTTAGCAGCATCTCTTCTATAACAGGGGTGGTGTGTGCTGAGGGGTGAAGGCAGGCTCCCACGCTCATTCGGGGCAGCCACCGCTTCAAGTTGGAGGCGCCCACCTGCCCAGGCAGGTGTGGAGCCCTGGCCGAAATCAGGAGCTGAGCTCCCCCTGGTGTCCTAGTCGACTGCAAGCTTTCCACCTGTCCCCAGTAATCTGTCTCAGAGTAGGCGAGTTAACAGTGTCTAAGGCCTGTAACAAACAACTTGAGAATGACGTGCTCCTGAAAACCCTGAAGTCATCACAAATGGCCTTCATGTTATGAGGATCAAGGATGCTCCAGGAAAAAACCCACCCAGGCAGCACCACGGCCAGTTGGGAGGAACTGGGAGACCCCCGGGGGTCCAGACGGCTGCTCGCTCAGGCCGCGGGCACGGGCACCATGGGCGGGGGTGGGCAGGCCTGCACGGGCCGGGGGTGGGGTCACTCAGCACAGCCGATTCACCCTTAGGACACTGCAGTGACGAGAGCACGGCCTGACGGCGAATCGGGAGCCAGAATGCCCAGTCCTGAAGCTGGCAGGGCTTAAGGCCTCATTCTCACACTCCGCCTAAATATTTAAAGTCCTGCTTATCTTAAAAAATAAGATAAACATGCAATTACAGCTTTTAGAAAGAACAACCTGTGACTTTCTATCAACTAAACATGTCTTAAAAGAACGTGACTTCAGCAGCCAGCCGACAAGGCGGCCCACGGGCAACAGGATCTGCAGCCTGGGAGCCCCAAGACCCAGGGCTCAGGCCTCTTGGCGACGACTGAGCGGCCGAGGAGCGGGACGTGCACCCCGCTGACTGCCCGCAGGGCTCCCCCACCACTGCGTCCGGAAACCCAGCACTTGGGCCCGCCGTCAGGTCCACAGCACTGCTTGTGACGACCTTTATGCCCCCTGAAACAAAGGCAGGTGCCTCGGCAGAAACAACAGCCCCCCCCCCCGACAGCGTCTCCCTCTGAAACTGAAGCGAGAGGGCCGAGGGCCGGCTGCGCGGCTTCCAAGGCACAGCTGAGCTTTGCCGGACGCCACCTTTACGGACCTGGGCCACAGGCCTGAGCGCCACTGTGTGTGGCTCGTGCCGGAGCCCCTGGGCACGGGCTTCCGTCCGCCACGAGTCTCATCAGTGCCCCACGGATCTCAGAGAAGCCCCCAGCCCCAAATAAAATGAGCGACTGAAAACCCGTGGGCGTGGGGAGGGCGAGACCCCTTGGCAACCTGACCTTCAGGGAGTGCCCTCCACATGGCCTGGCTGGAGGATCCGACTGTGGGGCCCTGCCTGGAAGACCCAAGATGTTTCTCTCAAGTGGAGCGAGGCCACTGGGCTCTGCTGACCGCTGCTGACCCCTCGGTCGGTTCTGTGTGGGGACATGTGGAGGGGCACATGGTCCTGACCACAAGGGCCACCTCCAGCCGCCGACCACCTCAGCCACACATGCCAGGGGCAGGGCCACTGATGACCTTCTGAGACCACAGCCCGCCAGGGTGACCTCAGGATGATGGAGACTGGATTGCCTGCTCTTCTCCCGCCGTGCTAACCTAGAGCATTTCTCTACCGAGAGCCCTGGTCCATCTGACTCCTCACGAGTGTGATGATGCAACAGCAGGCGTGATTGCTTAAGAGCAGCCACGACCTGAAGGCTTGGAGTCAGTCTTTAAATCTGCACCTTCTCACAAGTGTACGTCGTGTGCTCACTTCCAGGAGTGCGGTGAACCCACGTATGCATCTGAAACAGCTTCCACGCGGTGCCAGGCTGGCACAAATGTGACAGCCAGAGAAATTTATTTTAAAATAGAAACATACATACATTAAGCTTTAAAACAACCAAATTTTAAACAAAAAGGAAAAAAGCCTTTGACCCCAGAGTCTACACGGAATGGATTTAAAGAGGCGTTTGACGTTCCTTCCGGGAGCACTCACGGACGGCGTGAGGCTGAATCCGTGCCTCCCTGCGCGGCGTCTGCGGGCGGGCGGGCGGCATACGTGGCAGTGACGGCGCCGCCCCCGCAGACACTGGGTGCGCCCATGGTGACAGGCGAAGCGTTGCACGCTGGGGGCGTCCTAAGTGCTGCCCGCATGTCCCAGACACGACGTGAGGGCCTTCGGAGACTTTGGCAACGCAGAAGAGGGGGCGTCCAGGAGTCCCACCAAGAGCGTCCGGACGCGCGGCCGGCACCCAGGCCTGCTGCGCGCAGCTAGTCTGTGCGGGGCTTCTCCTCGTAGGACTCGCCGAACTCGTTCACTCTGCTCTTATCCACAGGATAAAGCCTGCAATGGGGTCCAGGGCACGTCACGCCTGGCTGGCGAGGGAGGGAGGCCAGTCCTCAGTGCCCGATGACCAACACGCGGCAGTTGGGAGTTTACAGCTGTCTGGTGCCCTCCTGGTGGTTCTGTAACCATCAGGCCCGAGCTCTGCTCTCACGGCCCACAGGAGGACGAGGACAGCTGTGCCAGAGTAGAGGCAGGGCCGGGACCCCCACCCGCAGACTTCGACGCGGAGCGCAGCACAGGGGCCAGGCGGCGGCCGCCTGCCTGTTCTGCCAGGGCAGCTCCAGCCACACGCTTCAGGGAGAGACGCTCACAGGGGTACAGATCACTCGGACAGAAACTGGGCCCTAACCTGGGCAACACACGCCACCCAACAGCTGCCTTCCCTGCGGGCAGGCCCGGGTGCGAGCGTGTGCAGACGCGCCCATCCACCCTGCAAAGCCGCGCCTCGGCCCACGCTCACCACCGCTGGTAGAGGTAGACGAGGAACACCACGTCGTCCCTGAAGCAGGCCAGCCGGTGGGAGGTGGGCATGGTGATGATGAAGGCGAAGACGTCGTCAATGAAGGTGTTGAAGGCCTGCGTGGGGGCAGGGCCGTGAGACGGACGTGCTGCCCCCCGCGCCCGCCTGAGCTACCGGGCGCGTCGTCCCCCAGCACCTGCACCGCCGACTCGAGCCTCAGAGCTGCCCCACAAAGCAGGGAGCCAGCAAGGGGGGCCCTGGTGCCCTGACACCCGCCCGGCTCAGACCCCACAGCCGGGTACTCCCTACCCGGTTCCCCACACCCGGGACCTAGAACTGCCTGGGAACCCAGGGTGACGACACGGTGCAGCCTGTCCAGGAACAGCTGTTTTGCTCAGAAAACCGAAGGAATTTTAACCGCCCCCCACCCCAACACCGAGGCTCTAATTCACAGCCGGGTCATGTGTCCCAGCAGCACCAGAGGGCCACAGGGTCCAGCCTCCCTGCGTGTGGGACCGGCCACAACGCACCCAGACTGGCCGGGGGGTGAGCAGACCCACTGTCTGGGTTGACGTGGAGCCAGCACCCTGGACGCCAGGCCATGGGTACTTGTCTGTCCTCAGCTAACAACTGCCGAGAAACAACACGGCTTTTAACTCAAGGGGACATCTGCTGCTGCTGTGACAAACGCGGACCTTTAAAGTCCCCACGGTAACTTCAGAGCTTTCTAAGGGGGACCCCCAGACATTCCCCCAGGAGTGCAGCCCAAGGGCGAGTGTGTGTGGCCTCAGCAGGTGAAGCACTGACCTTGTAGGTGAAGGCCTTCCAGGGCAGGTGCGCCACTGACTTCATCTGGGGACAGGAGACAGGGCGTGTCAGGGACTGGGCACATGGGGACAGGCACCGTGGGGACAGGGGCGTCTTACCTTGTAGTTCACGAAGAGCTGGGGCAGCATGAACAGGAAGCCAAAAGCGTAGACCCCTGGGGAGACAGACGCGGCGCGGAGACTTGTGCGCATGACCAGCCGACCTGCGCATCTCTGGGCAACAGGACCACCCACACCCGCAGCGTGGGCACCCCAGTGAACCACCCCCACGCCCAGGGGCCGAGCCGGTGCTGGGGGCTGTGACAGGGCTCCTGCCCCGCACCTGGTGATCACGGCCCTCCTGCTGTGTGGACGACCCAGCTGGCCCCTAACTGCCACCAGAAAGCAGTGTGGTCAGGACAGGCCTGGAGAGCAGGCGGGCTGGGACCCTTGTGCTCTAAGGTAGCATTTACAGTCCGGGGGAACTGCTCCCTGAAGAGCACGCCGCCCCCGGCTGGTCTTGCAGACACACCGGGCCACACGGGGCCTAGCGTGGGGCGGGGCAGGGCCTGGCGGGGAGCCTCGCACCGCCCTGGGGTCACGCAGCAGTGCGACAAAGGAACATGCGGCCAACGCTCAGGCTGAGGCGGGAGACGCAGGACTCACCATTGACGAAGCTGTTGATCAACCAGGAGTACCAGCTAGGAAGGGAAGAGGCGGTGAGGGGTGGCTGCGCCCATGTTGGCAGTTAATGGCTGCACCCCTTGCCCTCGCCCGAGGCCCTGCCCAGACGCTGCTGTGACAGCTGCTTCCCGGGAGCGCCCACCGAGGCGCGGGTGGAGATGCAGCCCCAACAGGCTTTTCCCCCCAAGACTTCCAGGGGGAGGGGAACCACAGCCAACTGCGCAGAGCCGTCAGGGCCGCAGGCTGTGCATTCAGTTCTGCTCCCACAAATGTTCCCGACCCCGCGAGGCCCGGGGTCAGCCCAGCCACCATCCACGCTGCAGTGACGACGCACAGCGGCAGGCGGCCCGTCACTGTGGGCACCCGGGCAGCGGGCTCTCACCTCTTGTACTTGACGTTCAGCAGAGAGTAGGCGGCGCCCCCGACACACAGCGGATAGAGAAGGTAAGACAGGTACCTCATGGCCTGTAGCCAACAGAGACTTGTCAGCGCCGCCGCCAGGCCCGCGCAGGCGCCGCTCACTACACTGCAGAGGGCGCACGCCCGGGAGCCCAGCGGCCGGCCTGCGCGAGGCTGTGCTGGAGGACAGCGCACATCTGTCCAGACCTCAGGGCGTCCCCACCGCGACCACATGGCAGCAGGACGCGTCCGCGCGGGGCCAGGAGAACCGGCCACACTGACAACCCTCAGGCCAGCGAGCAAGCGTCTCAGACAGGACTCTGGAGAAACGCTCCCAGAGCCGGTGTCCAACTGCCTTCTAGCAGACATGCTTCATCACTGTTTGTTCTGATCTAAACTTTTTCAAATTCCCCCCAAAACTAGGAGGCAGGCGATGCCCCCTAAACCGGAAAACACAATCATCCCTGTGCGGGAAGTGCTACGTGAAATCCAGCTGAAACCTGCGGGTTCCCACGGCGGGGAAAGCGATGGCCTCAGGACATGGGGGCCCCTGGGAGGCCCACGGCCCCGTGACAGGCCCGCAGCCACACACAGGGGACCGGCCCAGCCGCCCTCCTCCCAAGGGGGAGTCGCCGCAGGACCCCGCCCAGCGCGCAGCTCCACCCACCTGAGTGTCGTACTCCTCAGTCTTCCTCTCAGACTCGCTGTACGTGCCAAACTGTTGTGAAATTCAACACAGTCGTGTTAATTAACTGGCCAAACAGGCATCAGAGGCTGTGCCCTGAGCTGAGTGTGGCTGACGTGGAAGCCCCCCAACTTCAGAGCACGGGGCGCAGAGGCCCCGACCCACCAGCCCCATCGCCCGACATGGCCAGAAGCAGCCCGCCACGTGCCTCACTCCTCGCGGCCACTTCCTGTCCCCAGTCCCGCTGGGTTTGCAGTGAAAACATTGCTCTTAAATCAGTAAAGGTGGGTCACTGGCCTTAGAACAAAACAAACTGCACCCCACCTCCAGGTGTCCCGCCCTCGACCTGGAAACCTGAAGGCCACGCAGACTAAGGTTCCTTGATTTAAGCCCATCGTGAGAAGAGGAGTGAGGGCCCCGACCAGAAACCTCATACTGACATCCAGCCCCACCCAATCTTCCCAGGAAGCTAGTGACCCCCAGCACAGCCGTGTGGGACCAGCGTGGACCGTGCTGCGGGCAGCAGCACACCTGCTGCAGGAGCGGGAAGCATGGATGCCACACCTGCACCTGGCCAGCCAGCATCCTGTCTTGTTAGGGAGGTGGGAGAGCAGCTTGCATGCGGGCAGGGCCAGGCCTGGGACCCCAGGGTAGTGAGAACGCCCAGGTCGCTGGTGGGCAGAGCTGCAGAGCGGTGACCCGCCCCACCCTCCCCGCTCCCAGAAGCCTGTGTTCCCACCAGTCCGCAGACAAGAGATCAGTGAGTGACCAAGTGACGCTCGCCTGCCCTCACGTCCCACATCCGCTGGGGACATAGCTGAGAAACGTGACAGCAGACAACCTGGCCCCACGAGCGGGCCGGCCGGAGAGGAGGTGGGGCGCAGAACCCGGAGGACGGGAGGGTTCCGACGGCAGAGCTCCCACCTGAAACGTGGGCCTCAGGCCCCTCCAGACAACCGTCATCTTCAAGGCCTTCTTCACTTTCCACAGCTGAGGGGGAACGAAGAGTGGGCGATGAGGTTCCGGGACCAGGGGGAGGCCACGGCACACTCAGGGCCGGCTCAGGGCCCCACACCCCTGCCCACCTGATGGCGCCGCTTCCCTCTGCTGCTCACACTCAGGGCATCCAGCCTGTCCGCCCACATGGACCCAGCCACCTGCTCGGCGCCACCGGGACGGCACCAGCTGGGCTGTCCTCCTCTGGCCAAGTTCCCTCCCTGCTCCTCTGCACTCAGCCAGCTCGCCCCACCCTGCCTGCTTCCAAATTAGCCTCAGCACCTTCCCCTGGTACCTGGGAGACCCCAGCCCCATGTCCTGCCATTGTGGGGTCTCTCCAGGACCGACCCCACGGGCCGCCTTGCTAAGACAGGACAAGCACAACGGCCCGTGAGGTTGGTGTCTGTGCAGTGACTTGTGGCCATGGGAGGGTCCCAGCCAGCCGCAGGCAGGGCCTGGGACACGCAGAGCGGGGAGATCCTGGCCGGCCACCCCTTCACTGCTCCTGTGCCCCAACCCCAGCTCCACTCTCGGCCCCGAGTGCCCCAGACCCACAAGGCTGCTTTCCCTGAGCCCCATACAACCAGCAGGTCACGGGGCGCCTGCCTGCCACGTGTCTCCGGGACGGCACCCAGCACAGCCAGAGCCATGGGGTGAACATGACCTGTGGGAAGATGGGAGGAGCCCAAGCTTCCAGACGACAAGAAACACAGGGCAGTCTGCTGCTCTGGCCGGCAGCCGCGCCCGTGCCCTCCGAGGGGGCCCCACCCTCCTCGGCCAGGGATGTGGGTTCCGACAGCGCCGGGGCTGAGGCCCAGGGACAGCCACACATGGGAGCTCAGACCACACAAGCCCTGGGGGCGACGCACCTCGATGGCGGCTCCAATGCCCGCAGGGACCAGCACCAGCAGGCTCGTCTGCTCGTCCAGCAGGAACAGGAAGATGACCACCGTGCTGAAGCAGCGCCAGAGCACTAGGGGCAGAGAGAGGGGCTGAGTGGGCGGGGCTGAGCGGGGGTGGGGGGCGCACGCGTGCAGCTTCAACCACGCTTCCCCTCCATCCACTGAAAGGGAACAGCGGGCCACGTGCAGCCACGGGAGGTGTGAAATGACTGAAGGGCTGGACCGCAGAAGGCACTCGGCTGGTGTGGCAGTTACACTTGTACACACAGCTGCACAGGCCCACGGAGGAAACCGGCTCCTGACTCGATCGCAGCCCTGCCTCCCCAGGTCCAGCCCCACACGTTCCTGCTTTCACGCTGAGTCTATGATCCCGAGTTTGTTTTAAAACCTGCCCGTCCTTTCAGGCTGTGCTCCAGGCCCTGCCGTGCACCCCTCTCGGGGGAGGTCAGGCCCAGGGACACACACTGCTCACGCCACAGCCTGAAAAGGCTGGGGGCGGGGGGGCACCCAAGCACCCAGACCACCCCTCAGTGTTATTCCCACGGGATGAAGAGAACGGCCTCCCTCATCTGAGACTCAGCTTGGCGGCCACAGGAGACCACGACCCGACACATGGCACTGAGAGCCAGCACCTGTGCCACCTGTCACCCGGGCGGGGCCCCGTCCTCCGCGGTCGCAGGCTCACACGGCCGGGCTGTTAGGACGCGGGCTCCAAGGCACCTCGTGAACGAGAGGC